GGTTTTGGAATCATGGCAATCAGAGCGCTTTTCCATTGCCTTGGGAAGTGTCCGATTCGAAACATTGTATTATATAAGAGCACAATGAAGAGTATGCCTTTGGTGGGGAGCAGCTTTATTGTTCTGCTGTCCAGTTCATCAGATCCAGGGGCTTTACGAATCTTAAGCGCTTGGATTTGAGTTTCGACCTCTTTGAGGGTCACCTGGAGAGTGGACACATCAGGTTGTTGTGGTGCTTCAAGGGTCCTGTCTATATATTCTTCATGGAGCGAGTGGGGGGAATCGAACGGTTTAAATCGCGCCTCTAAATGCGTGGCGAAAGTTTCAGCGCGTTCTAAGCTCGATCTGGCCCAGGAACCATCCTCTCTTTTTATGGGACTCTTGCGGACGGGCTGTCTTTTAAAGCTTTTTGTCAGCTGCCAGAGGCTGTATCCCGTGCTAGCATCTCGGCTTGCGTCCATAAGTTTTCTGCTGAACTGCTGGTTGCTTATGGCCGCGAGGGCTTTCTGGAGCCTGTTGGATATCCTTCTATATATCCTGCTTACTCTTAGGTCACCGGTGCGCACGTGCTCCTTGCGTAGCCGCCTTTTTAATGCCAGAAGTGGAGCTGCCGCCGGATGGATTGAGCCTCGTGGGGGCGATATTCGGATCGGGTCTATAGCATGTGAAGCATGTTGGGCTGCTGCTCGAATCTTCGCCATGAAATTATCGATAGCATCCTCAATGTCTTCAGGGGAGGTCAGGATCATGTTGAGATTGATTGTGTTGTTGAGTTCAGCCTGGAATCTTTCAACGTCCCCATTTGGCGGCAGTAGACTCTTTCTTTTTGGCTGCTGTATAGGGCTGGTGTGGACAGTTGCCAAAAGAGGAAGATGGTCCGAAGAGAGGTCATATTTGGTCTCGATGGAGAGTGAGCTCTGCCTAAGGCCACCATATATGAAGAAGTCTAGGGCACTAGGAGTGCGTTGCGAGTTGTAGGCGTAGTATGTTGCATCTCCGGTTGCCAAGACATCGCATCTGCAGTCGATGATGGCTTCGTGCAAATTCTGCCCTCTCGTACAGGCTCTGTTGTTGCCCCATAGTCTGTGTTTCGCATTCCAGTCCCCTCCGGCAATGAATTTTTGTCCTAAGTTCATTATTAGGAACTCAAAATTTGCTTTGGTCCATGGCACAGCCGGCGGGAGGTATAGAGAAGCAATTGTGAAGTCACCTCTGCTAGTGTTTATCTTGACTGCGGCCATCTGCAGATGTGGTTGGGAAATGTGTTCCAGGGGGTGGTGGCTCAGGCTATGGCGGACTAAGATGCCGGCACCTCCTCTGCGGTAGTTGCAGGGATGTTGAGTTATATATGTAGTATAACTGGGGACATATATTTTTGAGCACATGTGCATGTGCGTTTCCGTTAGGAGCATTATGTCAATTACGTGGGTGGTGAGAAAAGTCCTTAGCTCCTGGATTTTTTTGCTAAGGCCATCTGCGTTCCATAATCCGATCCTTAATTGGCTCATTTTGATGGGATAAGGCGAGAAATTAGCGACATCAGGATGCGCTGAGTTTCGGAGTTTTTAAGAATCGTATTAAGGATCTGGTCCATTCTTGAGGTAATGCTCAGCATGGCCTCTTCAAGAGCCGAAATTCTCGAGTTCGTATCCTCGCTCGGCTTGTTTCCGGGGATGTTGTTGAGCTGCCTTTCGTTCGCTTTACCATCTGGTATGCATTGGGTGATGCCTCTTCGCTGGCTGATGGTAGGGTTGCCCGATCTGAGCATGTCCGCAAATGAAACAGATTTGCCAGCTACCATGGGAGGGGGGATAAATTGATTTGCATTGTTGTTTTGCCGAGCGTGGTTATTATGCGCCTTGTGGAGAGTAGCCGAGATATTGGGGGCCGGCTTGCGTACCTTGATTCGGTCTATGTACCATTTACAGCCTTTGTAGTTGGCAGAGTGGTTTCCGCCACAGTTGGCGCAAAAGAAGTCGCCTTCCTGGACTGCTTTGCAAAGGGGCGATCCTGTTGGGTGCTCTTCAGCACATCTACCACAAACGAATTGCTTCATGCAATAGTTTTTAGAATGGCCATAATCTTGGCAGCGGTGGCATTGGACAACGTCAGCAGATCGGCGGGGGCGCTCCACTAAGACTCCTTGATGGCACAAAAGGTTTATTTTTAGTGCTTTCTTATTGTTGGGAGCCGGTTTGAGGTCTAAGAAAAACATATTTAGCCTGCTTTGCTCAGTGCCATTTGGGGTCTTGCCTTAAGGATTGAAGATGTTGACTACCTTGTGTCCTTTGTCTAGCATTTCCTTTATTATAAGGCCTTGGGCTGTAGAGGACGCCATCTGTTTGATGACAATGCGAAAAGGTTTATCTTCTTGGAGTTGGTAGTGGTAGTTTTGGCATTTAGACTTTTCCATGAAAGCAATTACTTTACGGAATGTTGGAACGTCCTTGGTGTATAGCCTAGTTAGGCCTGAGCCAGACGTACGAGTTGAGTAGCTGCTAGGTGGAATGACTTGATCCAAGGCATCATGGAATTTGTGAATATCTGTTATACCCGGAACCATGATGGGACCAGGTTTTCTAGACTTAGGAGGCGGTGGAGTTGTCGCAGGCAGTGGTAGGTCCTCCAGCATGCTGGCTTCTGTCTCCATATCATCTAATTCCGTATCTTTCTGATTTTCGTCAGCCTCGCTGTCGGCAGTGTCAAGGGCTGCAAATCGATTCATCCTTAGACTAGCATCTTTTGACGTAGATGGGATGTCGTCGCTTGACCGGCTAGTTTGGACTACCCTTGATGGTTGCTGGTTAGATAGAATTTTGGTCTTACCCTTTTTGTTGGTTTGGTCAGGCGAGAGGGGAGCGCTAGGGCGCTTGCGTTTGGCAGTGCCACCTTTTTGCCATTCCGAACTCGGGGGATCGATATAAGGCACAGTACCGACTTGTGTACTGGTGTTAATTGCCGGTGCAACAGGAGTGTTGATGGGCATATTAGCGGCGCATGGGGTGGTTGTAGGGTGGCATGATGGCTTTCTGCTGCTGCCTTGTGCATTGTTGGGGCCTGCTGTGTTGCGAGCCGTCGCAGAAGTAGCTGAAGCCACTGCGTATGTGACTGCGGTAATAGCGGAAGCGTTGGCTATGGTCGTGATGTAGACCGTACTCGAGGAGGTAGCGGGAATCTGGCTCTCGCAAAGCACAGTTTTATACCGCTCGTCTAGTCGCCTCGCTTGGGCGTCGATGGATCTCATTTTGGCAATATACGATGGTGACAAGTTGTGTATTTCTGAGTCATTTGAGTCGCTATGCATGTCCATAATGAGAAGTATTATTACTTGCAGAATTTACCGCAACGGTCCACAGAAGTCTCAAAAATTTCGCGGCAAGAACACCTGCACTGCAAAAACGTAAACAAATGCACGCACAATCACACGCACACGCACACGCACTAGGGTGGGCGAGCGCAATAGATAAGAAACGTTTTTTTTTCTTTTTTTTTTTTTTTTTTTTTTTGGCTTCTATGCAGCTGCAGCCGCCTGCGCTGCGTTTTATTGCCCTTGGGCAAGTTAATTTCTGCTTGTTTATTATAATTGTTTTAGTTTTTTTGTAAATTATCGTTGCCGGCAATGCCGTAGCAGCATTGCCCAAAACTTAAACAGACGCTTAGCGTCAGAAAGTTTATTGCACGCCGATATTGTATCGTAAATCACTTTGATTTGGTTGTTACGCACTTCCGTCTCGTTTAACAGTCGGAGAAAAAACTGTTAATTTGTACTAAATATATAATATTCTTTTTAAGTTGAATACTCTTGTTTTCATATTTTCAACTTATGGGGATTTTTACGCGTATGTTCACACATCAACCTTCGCTCCTGTGCTTCTCTCAAACGATGTAAGAGGCTATCAGTGAAACATGGCTCAACCAAAGACAATATAAACACTAAGATGAGTAACGCCATACAACAAAATGCTAATATGCAGCTTGATTTTTTGAAAAATAAGAACGAAAACGAAATCAATAGCATTGCGCGCTCACAGCTGAGAGAACGAAAAACCTAAAAATAGAATTTGCGCTAAGCTTCGGCTCTATGAGGGCCATGCAAGCAATTATGTTTGTATGCGTGTGAATATACATACATAACAGCATATTTGAATGTGTTGTTATCCACTGCTCTGGCAAAGTCTCTGGCTGGCAAAGAAACAATTTTCTTAGTTTTTTAGCGCAGATCACGACCTACCCAAAATTTCTGTTGATATATGAATGCATTTTGTGTACTCCGTACAAAAAAATTTGTATTTTTTAGTCAATGCAAATATTTATGTAATTTTTTATATTTGAAATTATTGATTAAATTATTATTTTTTCAAATATACATTTAATTATTTTTTTTTTTTTATTTTATTATTTTTGTTGTTCGAATTATAAAGAACAAAGTACGCGGGGAACACCGCGAGGAGACCATTATTATTATAATGGGGTCATAACTAAATATGACCTTCGGCTATTTTCTGCGGAGCCAACCTCAGTACATAAAATGCATTCATATATCAACACAAATTTGGGATAGGTCTTGATCTGAGCTAGAAAATTTACAATATTAATTTCTTGCCAGCTAAAGCCAGAGCAGTGATTAACAACACATACATACATACTTTAAAGATCTTATGCATGTATAATTCACCCATACAACGAAAGGTACACGCACGCTTTTGGCTGAGACAAGAACTTTTCTTGAGCATACACTGTCCAAAAAGAAAAGTGAAATCAATCTATGTGTGCTATTTTCTTAACATAGTTATTGCGCAAAATGCGCCTTGTGTAATTATTATATAAGTTCTTAAATTTTCCTGTAAAATTAATCGTTAATATCTAGAGTAATTTATCATTTAAATAAAGCATGCACTTTGCGTCGATCGTAAGTTCTAAACTTTTTCGCTCAATGTATTTCGAAAACGAAGCAACGCAAAGCAGCATCGACCAGCTTTGCTGAAGGCAGGCTGGCGACAAACTTCGTAGCTCGTGTCAGCATCAGCAAGGCGCGAATTCGGCATTCGTTTGTCTGGTCTTTGGAGAACGAACAACCAGTCGGCAGGCATGCCGTACGAAGCCTCAAAGACCAGATGAATGGCCAGGCCAGAAATTTTGCGTCGCATTCAAATGTATGGACGTTACTCATCTTAGTGTTTATATTGTCTTTGGCTCAACGAGTCAAAATGGCGCATTTTGGACCCGAACTTGATAGTCGAAGTTTTGCAAGGACATTGACCATCTTGCTATCCGCATAAGAACTTTTTTTTCCTTCATCGTTATTGTTAAAGCATTGCAGTCAGTTATGGTTTTAAACGTTTTACCTATTAAAAACACATGTAATTTATTAAGAGCATACATAACAGCAAGAAGTTCTAATTCGTATGAGTAGTACTTTTTTTCAGCCGCACTTGTCTAACGGCTCATATACTGAACATGATGAACAATACCCCATCAAAACAAAACGTGCTAGCATCCGTGTTATCTTCCGTTTCTAACTTAGTGCTATAGAATTTTAATACAAGTCCACTCCTCAACAATTCTTAATTCTCAATTCTTCGAATCCGACATGCTGCAACTCTTTAATATCATACCTTGCATCCTTTCGGAAAACGTCGGACAATGATTTTGCAATTACTTCATACCCCTCTACAAACATTCGAAAATAAACTTTATTAAATGAAACCCTAAAAATTGGTTATTATGCTTGAAATCGGAAAATTTGCAACAGCTTGAGGCTCTTTTTGGAGTTATAGAGCTCCTTTGCAGAAGGAGGTTATTTACCCCTGCAACAATTGATCTACCCAACTTTTAGCACCCTTTTGACCTTCACCGGGTCGTCATCAAGAATATGACGTCTTTCATATAAACGATCGTGGAACCCATTTTGGCCATCTGGATATTGTCAATCTGAATGGGTATTACTTACAAAACCTTCCAAATGTCAGAATTTGATTGTCTCCTAGGGTCTTAGAACATACCGTTAACTATTTGATTCCTAACTCTAGATGGACACACCTACGTATGAGACACAGGTCCTTGTCGTAATACATTAAACCTTTGCAAATCTCTACGCCACAAACTACGCCGTTCGTCTACTTCTTGTTTATATTGGCTATCATCATTATACTTATTACTATTATATATTATATATATGCTTAGGACAGTCCTTTATCATATGTGAATCGGCACCATATTAAAACTATTTACGGACTTTATTTGCTTTAAAACCTTGACTATCGTGGAGTCTTCCTTTAGCAACTGTCGATCCAGGTTTACTGTGCGATGCGTATGAGCCACGAGCTTTCTGATAAGATTCTATGTGAACTTTCAACTGTTTAATTGTTCGGCCTTATACGATACGAACAGCAAATTGTTTGTTTTAGAATCTGGGGTATCGCCCATCAAAGAGTTAAACTCTCATCAACGACATCAATTGATTTTCCTGTGTCCATCAACGCATATACAAATTCTAGCAGCAACTAACCTTTTTTCTGCTGGCGCTTTCCCAATCATCTATGAACGTCTTTTAGCACCTCCCAGTTATGAATATCCCTGGCAACGAATAAATGATTTATCAGCACCCTCAAGCAACTGCTTGGCATAAGAAATAACATAACTGTAGTAGGATAGTGACGTCCCATTATCAATAGTATGTATTATCAGAAGTACACACGGTTACTCTGGCAGCAGGTGTCATGTAGGTAACAGAGTATGTTAAGCATTAGTGTTAAGAGCAGTCTGTGACTAGCTTTGAATAACATAAGACAGTGAGACTACAGGAGAAATAAAACAAACATATATTGAAGCTAATAAAACACAATATACATAAATTCTATCATCCCCCCACAATCTAAGTGGGCCTAACTCACAATTAACGAAGTTGAAATTTATAAATTTTCTGTAGCTCGATTGAAAAAGTGGCTTGGTTTGCCAAGCACAGGTTGTAAAGCAGAATTGGTAGCATGGCTTAATGCGATTTCGTCAGAAAGGCGCGGCATTCCGCCGGAGTACCGGCCAGGTTCTTAATAATATGCAATTACTACAGCATGATCAAGGTATAGATGAGAGCGACAGTGACTACGGTATTGTCTGTGAACAACAACAACAGGCAACGCAGTCACTTACTGAAACTGAGGCAAGGTCAGACAACATGACGGCTGTTTGAAGGCCACAACAACAGGCTGATCATGATCGATGGATGATCCAAGGCGACGAGATGGAAGTGCGTACTCATGCAGCAGCTATAACCAAGCTAATAGCATTTATGGACACCGCTGAGTTTGCTGTGCGACAACAGCTTAGGGCAGAAATCGATGCCAGCAAGGAATTCCTTCAACAAATTCGCTTGACATTCAAAGCGCAGTGCAGTTCGGAGGAGCTGAACAAAGTAACGGCAGCAACGAAAATGGAAACAACGCATGCAACAGAAACGTATGCAGCAGCAACGTAACCGACAACGTTAACAGTAGCAGTGCCAACAACAATATTAACAATGTCGCTGTTAACGTTGCTGATAATTGCAGCGACGGTGTTGGTGAAGACAGCTGTGGTGACGAGCAATGTGTTGACAAGCGCTAAATTGTAAATAAATTGGTGTAAGAATCATCTACATCGCTTGCATGGACTAAAGGAGTAGCCATTGAGTACGACGGTAGTTCATGCGATCGAATCTGGATAACACAATTACACAATATTGCGTAAGTGAACAATTTAAACAATATGATATGATATATGATATATGATGCGCGTTTGCTACTAGTAGCAAAGCTTAATGGCAACGCGCAGCGCTCTCTACATGCAAAACCGACACGCATCTTGGAACCAGTCGACAACTCATTTGTTTGAACAACTTATCTTAGCATTTGGAGGAGAGATTTTAAAAGCAAAAGCAAGGAGCAAATTTCAAGATCGACAGTGACAGGCGAACGAGAATTTTGCTACTAATTTGAAGGTAAGTTGTTGCTAGCCAAGAACAGTAACGTCGATGTTAAGGAATTATTGGAACGAATAATCAGGCACGCATTCAATGTTTTACAGAACCGATGCAAATTCTCCAAGCGTTTTCTGGTGTGCGTGTATGGGAGCAGAAGAAAGAAAATAACGCATCACTGACAATGTAATCAAAGAATTCCTATACCAAGGAAATGCGCTGTCACAATAGTAATGCGAGAGGTCACCTAGCCAAAGAATGTCGAAATGCCTGGATCAAGTTATGCGTGCGGGGCATTTGGTCATTTTGCTCGTCAGTGCCCAGTGAGAAAATCTGCAGCCGTAATTAAAGATCAATAGAGTCTCATTTTCATTTATATGTTGTTGCAAATGAATCTATGAGTCTTGATGTTGTTCTTGGTATATGTTGTTAGTGAACAATCATAGAAAACAGTTAGTCAAAAAGTAAGTGAACAGTCAAAGGAAACACTCAGTCAAAGAGTTAGTGGACAATCAAATTAAACAGTAAGAAATGAAACAGTTTCTTAGATAGTAAGCCAAAAACGGAGTGAAAATTTTAGCAACAAAATTGTTATGAAATATTTAAATGATGAAATTAGTGAAAAAGAAAATAATAATGAATAAAGAGATGGTCCATATCAATTTAACGGAAAATATGATAGCTGAATATAACTACGGCAAGACAGTAAACTACCAGACAAAATGCAAATTTATTGAATGTAGTTATAAAACGCAAAGAGGCCAGATGTATCTGATACAAATTAAGCTTAGCTTGGAAACATTAAAACCGTTTAGCAGTTCACTCAGGCGATTTTCATATACAGAAAAGGATAAAAGCCAAAAGAGCTGTTGGATGAATATTAAACAAGTAAGAGTTTCTAGTTGGGAGCTCCCGACATCGAACTCTGTCGACTATACTTAACAGCCACACCAGCAAAAAAAAAATAAAAATATTTTCCCCGGTAGGGCTCGAACTCGCGACAGACCGCACCACTTGCTATGCCTCTACTCACCAGCCACACCAATAATTTATTACCTTTGATAAAATAGAAACTAAAATAACATTACAGAAAAAAGTCGCAATTACCATGCTGTTAGAATGCGAAGCAGACGCGCATGAATGTGTGTGTGTACATGTATACAGAAATTCTTAAAGCTGCTGCCCCATTCAATTGCGCAGTTGCTTATAACTTTGGTTTTTCTTAACCGATCTTTATGAAATTTTCTACATTATATCTTATTGTACCATCGAATATTTTTGTATTCTGGAAAAGTTAATTGCATATAAATTGTGGCTTAAATTAGTTGCCAATAAATGTTGGGTTATCAAATTGATTTATAGCTCTGTGGTGGTAGCTGGGAGGTGGCGGTAGGTATAAAATGAAAGATACTTGACATATATATAATATTCTAGAAGCAACATATCATGTTTGCTGGCTCTAGCTCTTATTATTTAGCTAATTTGCTCAAAAAAACAGGATGTCGATATCGATTTTGATTGATTGCTTGGAAACGGAGTAAGTTATCGATCTGCGCGGGTACTAGGAGCACCTACATCTAAAATTTCAAAATTTCAATTTTCTCTAGCTCTTCTAGGTTCTGAGATCCTTGCGTTCATACAGACGGCCAGACGGCAAGACGGACAGACAGACAGACGGACATGGCTAGATCGACTCGGCTATTGGTGGATATCAAGGATATATATACTTTATGGGGTCGGATTTGCTTCCTTCTGCCTGTTACATACATTTGGATTTTGCACAAATACAATATACCCTTATACCCATTTATAACGGGTTCAGGGTATAAAAAAAAGAGCATTTGGTGCGGTATTAGGGCAAAGGAAAGTTGATAAGAAGCTGCATCCAATCTTTTACTTTACAAAAAGCGCAACAAAAACAGAATCAAAGTATCACAAATTTGTACTGGAAACACGCGCGATAGCTTATGCATTGCGCAGGTTTCGCATATCTACTAGGAAAACGGTTTAAAATTGTCACTGATTGCACGTCACACTCATTGACGTAAACGTTATGCAAGGTTGAACTCAACCCACGTATAGATGAGCTTTGGATGTCCAAAATTATGATTATGAGCTGACCCACAGAGCAGGTAATCGAATGCAACACGCAGATGCGCTTAGCAGATGTAGCAGCGTATTAATAGTTGAAACAAATAGTTTTGAGACCAATTTAGTAATATGTCAAGCGAGAGAGTCATAAATACAGAAACTAATGAAATTATTAGAAAGTTCTGACCAACAAATTTTTGAAATGAACGGTATAATTTACAGGAAAACAAATGATAACAGAATTTTATTTTACGTACCAGAGGTAATGGAAGACCGCTATGTTATAAATATCACAATGAAATAGGGAACATAGGTAGGAATACAATGGTGGACATAATTGGCAAAAGTTATTGGTTCCCAAAAACAAAAGACAAATGCGCGATGCATACTAGAAATTGTTTTAAATGAACAGCTTATGCGAAAACTGGAGAGGAGAGGGGTTACTGCATTGTATTCCACAAGGAAACAAACCTTTTGATGTAATACATATAGATCATTATGGGCCAGTAGATTCTGATTAATTCAAGAAACATCTTTTTGTGGTGGTCAATAGGCTCACAAAATTTGTACGCCTTTATGCGACAAAGACAACCAATGCAAAAGAACTAATCGCCCCATTAAAAGACTATTTTCGATCGTATAGTATGCCAAAGTGCATAATTTCGGATCAAGGTAGTTATTTCACTTCTAATGAATTCGATGAATTTATAAGGAACTGTAATATTAAACACATAAATGTGCAACGGGTTCGCCCCAGGTAAACGTGACAGGTTGACAGAATAAAAGAAGCCTTGGGCCTTGGAATACACTGAACAATGCAGAGCATTAAGCAAGTACCATGTAAAATGTTTCTCGCTATTGAATAAAATGGTCAAGTGATAGATGAATTAAAAGAAAAGCAAGAAGAATTAAATGGCAGATACAATACAATAATAAAACAAACATATATTGAAGCTTTTAAAACGCAGTATACATAAACTCTATCATCCTCTAACATAACAAATTCCACTGAACCGTTATGGCGTTTATTTCTATCTAACGCACCCACTGTTCAATATCCGTCGAGTTCGAGCCATCAAATTTATACACGATACCCTCTACATCTTTCAGAGTAAGCCACAAACTATTTCTTTCAGAACTCTGAATCAAAAGTGTTGCATTATCCGACATGTCATCACCTGAACCCTCTTCTTTTATTTGCACGCCATAATGTTCAAATAATCTTGCTTGCTGTTCACCATTGCTTCGTGCAGGACTAATTTGTAACTCTGATAATTTTTCGCTCAATTAAGCAATACGAACATAAAATCGCTGTTTTCCATCTTACATAGTTTTTATATGGTAACTTATATTTTAGATTTTCAAACTATTCTTACTTACTACTATTAAAAGAGAGCGCACTTGATTGTTATTGTTGAAGAAGGATTGGAGCGGATAAAAACACGTCCCTTCAGTTTCGTAGTTTATTCGCAGCTGTATTCAGATATCGATTCATCGATTAGTAATATGACATGGTTGCACTGATACAGATAGTTTTCAATACCCTTCCTCAATGCAAGCATGTTGGCTATTTTAAGCCTAAGCTTTTAACAATTTCATTATGCTTCTACTTTGCTAAATATTTGGTCAAAACATCAGCTATCATTAAATCTGGTGACACATATTTCAGGTTAATGAGCCCTTCCTTAACAATATCAAAAATGATATAAAATATAAAAAATGATATCTTATATCAATGTTTTTTCCTCCCATGATGAACAGGATTTTTAGCCAGTTGTTGCGCACTCAAATTGTCGCAACATACGGAAGTTGGCGTGTTTGTATCGCCACATCGTATTTCCACAATAAGTCGTCGCAATGCTATTACCTCCTTGCACGCGGTGGATAATGCTATGTACTCGGATTCTGTGCTACTGAGTGCAACACTTTTCTGTTTCTCTGACTTCCATGAGATAGGACCTCCAGCTAAGAAAAACACATATCCAGTATACGACCGACGATCTGTCCTGTCATCACCCCAGTCGGCATCCACGTAGTCCACAAGAGCCTGCTGGCACTCTTTGTAGTGCAGCTTCAAGTTACATGTTGATGCTTAATACCTTAGAACATGTTTAACACCTCCCAGATGTTCGCTGTGTGGTTCCTTGTTGCACTGCGCTAGTTTTGTCACTGAGTGCAAAATATCCGGCCTAGTAGACAACGCCAGCCACATCAGTTCGCCAAAAATTGATTGGTATGTCTGCGCATCCACTTTGCGATGTGTACTTTCGCACACATTTTGGTATCCTGCCTCCAATGGCGTAGCGGTTGATCTGCAGTTTTCCATGCTTTGCCGACGAAGCAAATCGCGTCTGACATAAGGTGATTTCACCCAATTCTCCTTCCCGTTGGACTTCCATGCCTAGGAACAGCTGCAAAGGTCCTTTGTCCACGCATTCAAAAGTTTCTGATATTTTTGCCTTTAGGCTATACAGATCATCTTTATTTTGACATGCTATGATAAGGTCATCTACGTAAACCAATATCATAGCAAGACTGTCCTTCTTATTTTGGTACAAGCAAGGTTCATGTTCACAAGGGACAAATCCAATTTGTCGCAAAACTCCATCGAGCTTGCTATTCCACTCCCTTCCTGCTTGCTTTAACCAATAGATGGCCCTCTTCAGCACATCCCTTCGCTACAAGACGTGCCTTGCATCACTCTACTTGACCATCTGCTCATCGTTTGATGTTGAAAACCCATTTACAGCCAATTGCGCGTTGTTCTTTTGGCAATTCCTCCTTAATTGCCACGTTTTATTCAACATCAGAGAGTCGTTCTCTCTGTTCATTGCTTCACGCCACAGTGCAGCATCGGAACAGCTGATGGCCTCCTCGTAGGATGTAGGAATTTTTATGTCACGGCCTTCCACAGCTCCAAGAATATTATATTGCTTCTTAGGTCTTCCACGCTTTGTAGTGCGAATAATTTTTGGTGTACCTGGCCCCAAACGTAGTTCCTCGTCTGCACTGACGAAACTGTCGCTACTACTGTCTTTTTTTATGCTGACGTTGAATTCGTCATCTAAGTCATTTGCATTATTTGAGCCGACGATGGCTTCGTCGTCTAAGCCACTGCCATTATTTAAGCCGACGTTAGCTACGTTGTATGAGCTATCTCTGTCGATGCCTGCGCTCGATTGACATTCATTTATCTTTGTACAAGTTGGCAAATCAAATGTAACGGCTCCAGTAACGCCCTGATCAATGCCGCATTGCTCATCGAACAGCACTTCTCTCTTCTCGACCACTTGCCTAGTGCTCGGATTATACAGACGATATCCTGTTGAATCTATGACATATCCGACCATACTCTATTCGTGTCCCTTGACACTGAATTTGCTTAGCTGCTTACCCTTTTCCAAAGCCACTGCAATGGAACCAAAAACTTTGATATGACAAATTGAAGGTTTTTTACCATTCCATGCTTCCATGGGCGTCATATTTCTAAGCGCACTCGTGGGTGATCGGTTGCGCAAATAAACTACTGCAGATATCGCTTTTGCCCATAAAGACTCCTTTAAACCAGAATAGACTAGCAGGCATCGTGACATTTCAACCAAGACGCGGTTTGCCTTCTCAGCCACGCCGTTCTGCTGAGGCGTATTTGGTATCGTCAATTGCCTTGCTATACCGTTAGCTTTGAGATACTCGTCGAATGTTTTGTTCACGTATTCGCGCCCGTTGTCGCTGCGAATACACTTTATCCGTCTACCAGTTTGCTTTTCCACCAAATGCTTAAATTCGACAAACTTTGAGAGTACTTCATCTCTCCCTTTTGGAATATATATAAAGATGCGCCGAGACTTATCATCGATGAATGATAGAAAATATCGATTGCCGCCAAGTGATTTGGTCTCAAATGGTCCGCACACATCGGAATGAACAAGTGCCAAAAGTTCAGTCGCTCTGTTTTCCGTTGAATAGGGAAATGGTTTTACGTGTATTTTACTCAGTATACATGTCTTACATGACACCTTGGATGAAAAATCAGTTCTTTCCATCCCACGCAACATTTTATTTTTGGTCAATTCAGTCAGGCTCCGAAAATGTAAGTGGCCATAGCGCTAATGTGCTCCGTCCACACATACCGCAGCAAAAAAGTTGTTGGTTTTACCTTCAAAAGTGTATAAATTTCCCACCTTCTGGACCATCCAAATCCACTCGCCATCCTGAATAATTTTTGCATGTTTGTTGCTGAAGTGCGTAACATAGCCTCTTGCCTTAATTTGACTAACCGACAAGAAATTGCTTTTTATATCCGTAACATACAGTACATTGTTGATAACAACTGTATAGCGATCTGTTTGTAACTTGACCTGGCCTTTTTCCTCCGTAAAATGCTACCCCTGCCAAGCCGATCATCTCTGTATGTTTTTCCATCTTGTTAAACATTGCCCGATTACAACACATGTGGCTTGTAGCGCCACTATCTAAGCACCACTTTAAGCGATCAAATCCATTTGCGTCTAAGGAACCTAACAAACTGAATTCCTTTTGTGTTTCTACTTTGCTCATACTTCTCTTCTTTTCCTTTTGTGCACTTATGCTTCGGCACTCTGCTTTTATGTGGCCACAATTAAAGCACACGATATTTTTTGTATGTGTCTTTTTTTCCCTGCTTTTCACGTTAACTGTAAAAGCATGCGTTTCTCCATTTTGTCTTTCAGCATTTGATCTTCTCTCTTCCTCTTCCTTAACTTTAATATACAGAATTTCAAATTCTGGCAACACATCGCGCGTCTCTGGCGACAACAAAGTTTTCGTAATCTTTTGGTAGACTAGAGAAAAGGATGATTACTTTCAGGTCGTCAGGAATATCAATGCCCACTGACGCCAGCTGGTCCAAGATCTCACAAAATGCGTTCAAATCGTAATTCTTGTCTTCGAGTTTGTCTATTTGATATAGAAAACCCATTATATGCACAACTTAACAACTGTCTGCGAATTAATTTTCTTGTGAGAATTCTTCTAGCTCGTTAACTAAAATTAAATTTTCACTACGAGTTTCTTTAATCCGCTTCCCAATCTGGGCCTATAACCTGTTGAGAGGAGGTATCCCAATCAATGCACAGAAGAAGGATTGGTGCGGATAAAAACACGTCTGTTCAGTTTCGTAGTTTATTCGCAAGAGAGCAAGATTGACAAAGCTTCTGCTGTTAGCAGCTGTATTTAGATATCGATTCATCGATTAGTAATTTGACATGGTTGCACTGATACAGATAGATTTCAATAGTTATATTTAGATGTAAACTTTCAGCACCAATAGCTTATGTTTGGCCTTTGATAAGTAAAAATAACTAAAATTACTCTTTTGTAGCTTAAATTTTACAGCGCCGACGGGCACTCTCTTTTTTATCTTAAATGTAAAAACACCAACGTGCGTATATTTTTGAATTTGTTCCCAATTGTTATGAAAAATATTAAGGCTATGTTAGTGAATAGCGTTGATGCACATAAAAATATGTTGCCAACAACTTATTTGAATTTTCTCTTGGCTCGTGAATTATATTTAATCATAAGTTTTGATATTTATGGGGCCTTATACATTTATTGATCGTTATATGTATACCGATGTCTTGCCACTGTGCTCGAATTGTTGCATGGGGGGTCTAGGGCTAACGTCTGATATATCGGTACGGGCCCTAATAACCATAGAGCACCTCAAATTTTGCAAGGATACCGAAAAAATAGTGGGAGAGTATTGTCGGTTGTGCACCCGACTCGCTCGTAGGGTAATGAGCAGATCGAATGTCCTTGCTAATACTCTTGGTCTACAACTGGGCCTATGACCTAAAAATGCAGCTGTGCACTGCCAAATGTATAACCGGAGAGTTCGAATTTGTCATTTATTTATTACCGGTCAAAGGCGGTGTGCCATGCTCAAAAGAAAATTAGTCTTCTTTTTTCATGTCAGCTACAAGTCATCGGTCTTATTTGTATAAAGTTAAAGTTGTCATTGAATTAAGACAACTCGTGTGCTAAATTTCGAAGCCAAATTTATTAAGTGCAAACATACAAAAAATTATAGCATACAATCACACACACGGTTATGATAAAGCATAATACCGTGCAATATTCACTCTAATATTCACTCTATTAAAGTCAAATTGGCAAATTGGGGAACGCACAGCTACTGAGGTCCACGCCGGAGATCATAAGTGCGGCCAGGCCTCGGCGCACTCATCAAGAAGAAACGGCCATCATCTGAATGAATCTGTTCCATCCATTCCTGCCCCAAATAGTGGCAGAGTCAAACGCATAACATTATAAACTATATATATATAGTTTAACTTGAGAAAACCTTATCGCGGCATACCCGTTTAAAGATATTTGTGTTTCTAATTCCGTACAACGATTGCCTCATTATTGCATCCTTTCCTCTTTTTTTGCGGCGACTGGCAATAACCTCTGGCCATATTTTCGTCGTCTGTTGCGTTTGATGATGTTAAAATAAAATGCACTCTGTAAAAAATAAGAGAGACAAGATCAGGTGATCCCCACGGGTAGGGCGGGTACGCTGGGTCCGGAGCAGGGCGCGCCTCACCTTTGTTCTTTACATTTTCTTGTTGTCACATCTGTTAGTGTTGTTCATTCGTAAGTAGTTCCGGCTGTCTGAAGTTATCGATTTTGTGGTACGTTTTGCTTAGTGTTGTGTAGGTCTGTTTTGGTACAGAAGTTATAGCATTGTTGATATCGATTGTGCGGTCTGCGGACACAGGATGGGACTACACAAGAGCCATCCGGCGCAGCCCAAAGAAAAACATGCAGTCCATATCAATATTGTAATGAAGCTACTGGGCGGGGTACAAATTTCGGTCTCGCCAGGTTTAGCAAGCCTACAAGACATTTGTTAGACGCTGCTCTGCCTTCGATCCTCCTAACAGAAAAGCCTGCGCATATCCGGAACGACCGAGCTGACCTTCAGCGTTTGATGGCTAGCCCAACGTTCTCTGCCGGAGTCCGTCTCAGTCCACACACAAGGACTGAGTCCACACACAAGGACTGAGTCCACACACAAGGACTGAGACGGACATGTTGGAGAAACGTTCGCGACCTTTCATCGTAGCTTGATGGTATCCGCAATGATAAAGGCATCTAATGATAAAAATGTGATATTAGGGTAATTTTGTCAGATGTTATGTATTCATTTATTAGTTTTGTTTGTATCATTCTGTGATAATGTTGGAGAATGTTTGACAAGTTAGCCTGTGTTAGCATTTGGTTAGCTCCTCCGAAGCATATATTTTTGTGAGTTATTTTTTGGTCTATGTTTATTTATTTATTAGTCAATATTAGTAAGATTTGTTAGTGGGTGTTTATTTTTATTTTTATTGAATATTATTTATTTATAAAGTTTTTATACCATCGAAAATGGGTAAAAAGGGTCAATAGCCGAGTCAATCTAGCCATGTTCGTCTGCCTGTCCGTCCGTCCGTCTGTCCACATGTATGAACGCAAGGAAATATAAATTATAAGAGCTACAGTCTACAAATTTTAAATGTAAGTCCTTCTAGTGTCTGCGTATGTTTTTATATGTTTGCCTGCGACCAAGGTGGACTCCAAGGTAGCGGTGGCCGTCTTTGTGTTCAAGGAGTTCGCCTCGAAATAACACTTCTGGCAACGTATCTCTGCGGATCGCGAATGTGGTTCATATCAATTTTTGGCTGTTGATGGCAATTTGCCACACAGTCGGTCGGTGGATTGGTATACACAGCTGGCTTAAGAGAAGATTGCGAATGTGGCGAGGTTGAAGTTATCAGGATGCTCCAGTGTCGTCGGGTCCACCGTCGGCTGTGTAAACGGTGGAGAGCCACGAAGCAAGAACACTGCCAGCTTCAACTACCACAACAAATTGTCTTCATGATGTGTTTCAAGGGTCCTGTCTATTTATTCTTCCAGGAGACAGTGTGGGGAATCGAACGGTGTAAATCGCTCCTCTTAGTGTGTGGCGTAGGTTTCAGAAAGTTCCAAGCTCGATCTGGCCCAGGAACCATCACCTCTTTTTATGGGGCTTTTGCGGACGGCCTTTTTAAGTTTTTTGTCAACTGCCAGAGGATGTGTCCCGTACTTGCATCTGGGCTTGCGTCCATAAGTTTTTTGTTGAAGTTATGGCTGCAAGGACTTTCAGGAGCCTGTTGGATATCCTTCTGTAAATCCTGTTTACCCTATGCGGAGCCGCCTTTTGAATGCCTGTAGTGGACTGCCGCAGGGTGGATTGAGTCTCGAGGGGGAGATAGCTGAATCGGTTCTGCTGCATGTGTTGCAAGTTTGGCTGCTACTCGAATCTCCGCCAAGAAATAATCGATAGCATCTTCGATTTCCTCAGGGGAGCTCAGAGTCATGTTGAGATTGATGAAATTATTGAGTTCCGCCTGAAATCTCTCAACTTTCTCGATGGAGAGTGAATTCTGCCTAAGGCCACTATATAAGAAGAAGTCTATTGGGCTAGGAGTGCGTTGCGAGTTTAAGGCGTAGTATGTTGAATCTCCGTTTACCAAGACATCGCATCTGCATTCAAAGATGGCTTCGTGCAATCTCTGCCCCCTCGTACAGGCTCTGTTGTTTCCCCATAGTCTGTGTTTCGCATTCCAGTTCCCCCCGGTAATGACCTTTGGTCATAGATTTATTTTTAAGAACTCAAAGTTGGCTTTGGTCCAAGGCACAGTCGGCGGGAGCTAGAGAGAAGCAATTGTGAAATCTCCACGGTAAGTGCTTACCTTGACTGCGGCCATCTGCAGGTGTGGTTGTCATATGTGTTTCAAGGCGTGGCGGATTAGAATGCCGGTACCTTCTCTATAATAGTTGCAGAAGTGTTGAGCTTTATATGCAATACATCCATATAAATATAAATTGGTAGTTAGCTCATTATACCCTGAACGCATTAAAAATGGGTATAAGGGTATATTGTATTTGTGCAAAATCCAAATGTATGTAACAGGCAGAAGGAAGCATTTCCGACCCCATTAAGTATATATATTCTTGATCAGCACCAATAGCCGAGTCGATCTATCCATATCCATCAGTCTGTCTGTCGTATGTATAAACGCAAGGATCTCAGAACCTATAAGAGCTAGAGATTTGAAATTTCATATGTGGGTCCTCCTAGTGCCTGCGCAGATCGAGTTTGTTTCCGATAATCGATAACTTACACAGTTTCCAAGCAATCGATACAAATCGATATCCTGTTTTTTGGGCAATTTTGGTAAATATTAAGAGCTAGAGTCACGAAACATGATATGTTGCTTCTAGAATATTATATATATGTCAAATATCCTTCATTTTATACCAATCGCCACCTCCCCGCTACCACCCTAGAGCTATAAATCAAGTTAATAACCCAACTTTTATTGGCAACCAATTTAAGCCACAATTTAAATGCGATTGAATACACAAATATTCTATGGTACTATGATATATACTGTAGAAAATTTCAGAGAGATCGGTTAAGAAAATACCAAAATGATATGCAACTGCGCAATTGAATGGGGCAGCAGCTTTAAGAATTTCTGTATACATGTACACACACATTCATGCGCGTCTGCTTCGCATTCTAACAGCATGGTAATTGCGGTTTTATTCTGTAATGTTATTTTAGTTTCTTTTTTATCATAAGAACTTAATAATTGGTGCAGCTGCTGAGTAGAGGCATAGCAAGTGGTGCGGTCAGTTACGAGTTCGAACCCTGCCAAGGGAACTTTTTTTTATTAATTTATTTGGTGTTGGAGTAAGAGGGTTCAGGGTATTCCTTAGTCGGGAGCTCCCGACTAGAACCTCTTACTTGTTTTTTTTTGGATAAGGCGGGAAATCAGCGACGAAAAGTTGTGCTGAGCTTTGAAAGTGTGAAGTGTGTTTAGGATCTGGTCCATTCATGAGGTAAGCCTTAACATAGCCTCTTCAAGAGCCGCAATTCTTGAGCTAGTATCTCCGCTCGGTTGGTTTCCGGTAATGTTGTTGGGTTGCCTTTTGTACACTTTTTCATCGGTATGCTTTCGATGGCGTTTCTTCGTTGGCTTCTTGCTGGCTCACCCGATTTGAGCATGTCCGTAAAAGATACGGATTTGCCAGCTACCATTGGAGGAGGGATGAATTGAACTTTATTTCTATTTTGCCGAGCGTTATGAGCCTTGATGGGGGGGCCGAGATATTGGGGGCCGGCGTGCGTACCTTGAATTCGGTCTATGAACCATTTGCAGCCCTTGTTATTAGCAGAGTGATTTCCGCCGTAGTTGGCGTAGAAGAAGTCGGCTTCCTGGACTGCTTTGCAAGGAGGAGATCCTGCTGGGTGTTCTTCAATACATCTACCTCAGACGAATTTCTTCATATAGTAATTCTTTGAATGTCCAATGCACTTCCGGGGATTTGCTGAGCGACAGATGCCGACGGAGGTTCATCTGGTAGATGTAGAGAAGGATTTGTTGGAAGAAAATAGACCTACACGGAACCAAGAGTTCCAAAAAGCAACCAGTGACTCAGTGCTTATGACGCTTATGACTTAGTGCTTATCGGCAACAAACGCGGTGATAACTCAAGTGCACCAGACATTTGCATGCCCTGCCATCCGGCATCAGTGAGTCCATCCGCGAGAAGATGCGAAGAGGCTTCATGGAGATGATGACGGGCATCATTGATGTGCTTAGACCGCCAGAGAGCCATGCCGGAGAAATCAACGTTGCGCCAAGAGAGCATAGAAGTGAAGAGGCACATTGGTCGCGGTCGAGGTGGGTACGGGCCGCCGTCACATTACTCGCGAAGAACAAAGCCAGCAGTTCACGAGGTTGATGTATCACCACATCTTGCGGAAGCACCGTCTAGACATCATGAGGAGGCCTACATACGATCAGGACATCTTCCCGGCTAGTGTTTTAGAATTGTAGGCAGTTCAATCACGTTTTTAGAGACTACCTATCTAAGAAGCGCAAAATATTCTACTATAGGTGCATAAAGCCACACACATTCTGCTCATAGTACGAAAATTGTCCGGGAAACCCCAAAGAGAGCGCGATAATGGCTTGACAGACGCTTTCGGGACTGCGACCGCGGAGAAGATTGAGAAGAGCACATACCAAAGCCAATAGTTGTTGAAAAGGAGACGAATAAAGACCATAAGGGCCAGGATAAGACTATTTATAAGGATATGAACAAAGAAAGAACATTAAGAGACTTTTAATATGAAAAATGTGTTCGGGCATACATGTCGGGCAGGAATGGAATTTTTGGTAAGCGACAAATGAATGGAATGACGTTGGCCACCCAAAGAGTGAAGAAGGCTCTTGCGCGCTTCCGGGCCAGGTCATTGAATCTGCGAGATTATAACTTCCAACCGCATAAGATAAACGTTTTTTATCTGCCCCTACCTAAAACAGTGAGCCTATTTTGGGTTTGATTTCTGGCGGGCATTGAACCTATCTACTGAAATGTTGGGCCCTGAGAAGCTCATCTCCACGGAACACCGGAAGAGCTCTTGGCCGTGTCAATGGCACACTCTGCGGAAGAAGAGGAAGATTTAGAAAGTGAGCCGGATTCATGGGTGTTCTTGAGGGAAGAAAGGATAGATTTGGAGGTGGTAAAACGGGAGCTTTTGTCCGTTGAACATGGCGGACTAGGAACGTTGGACTTAGAGAAGCACACTCGACTTAGTGGAAGGCGCCCAACCGCTCAAAGATAGACCTTACCCATTACCGCTTGCGATGCAGAAAGTAGTGGATGATGAAGTGGTCAAAATGTTGAACTTGGGGGTTATAGCAAAGTGCAACAGACCATGTAGTAATCGCACAACAGTAGCGCGAAGACCGGGCGAAAACCGTTTTTACCTCGATGCATGCAAGCTCAACAATTTGGAAGACGCCTATCCATTACCCTGTATAGAAGGCATTCTTTCTAGGATTGACCAGACCTACTACATCTCCAGTGTAAATCGGAAATTCGCATATTGGCGAGTCGAACTAGATGACTAAAGCAAGCCCTTTATCGCGTTTACTGTACAAAGTAGGCCACAATACCAGCTTCGATTGACAAGGTGATTCCCACCGAGCTACGGTCCAACGTCTTTGGGTACATGGATGATTTACTCGTTATTTCTCCAGATTTTCCAACGCACTTTAGATATCTGCAACAAGTAGGCAAATGCTTAAGTGAAAATTTGTTGGTAACAATTTTGCTTTGAAGCATTCAAATATCTAGGGTTCATTATTAATGGTGGCACCCTTTGCATGGACCCCGAACGGGTTATAGCTATTAAACGAATCCCCGTGCCTTGGTCACGTAAAGAAGCTCGCTCATTTTTGAATTCAGGAGATTAGTGCCGGCGAGATTTTACGAAC